TACCTGGCACAGGTGAGAGCGGTCCCCGAGGGGACGTCGGGTGCCGGGGGGACCCTGCTTCCCCGCTGTCGGCGTCGTGCCGGTGTCGGCATCGTGCCGGTGTCAGCGTTCCCTTCCCGCAGGAGGGCTGCGCTCTGAGCCACCTCACGCTCTCCGGGAACCGCCTGGGTGACGGTGACGTCCTGGCGGTGGCCAGGTGAGGGGACAAAACGGGGGGACATTTTGGGGTCCTGGCACCGCGATCCTCACCCTCCGTCTCCCAACGGCGACCCCGTGCCGACTCCGGTGCCGGGACGCGCCGGGGACGAGGGGGGACCCCGTCGCCATCTCCCCCCACCCGCAGGTGCCTCCCCGCTTGCCCGGCGCTGGTTTCCCTGGATTTTTCGGCCAATCCCGGCATCAGCGCGGCAGGGCTGCAGGCGCTGCTCTCCGCCCTGGAAGAACGAAGCCGGGGACTCCAGTTCCTCAGTCTGGCAGGTACGGCACCGGCGTGGGCAGGGGGCGGGCAAGCCCCCAGGGGGCTAACGGTAGCCCCTTTCCTCCCAGGCTGCTCCGTGGAGGGTCCCCTCGACGCGGCGACTTGGGCCAGAACTGCCAGCACCATCCGGGATCTCCGGCTCTGCGGTCGGCACGTCAGCCGGAGCGACCAGCGAGACGTCGGCAAAGCCTGGCGCGGTCCTGCCGGCACGGTGCTCGGCGCCGTCACGCGGCACCGTAAGCTCTTCTGTAAGAGCCTCTAAAGCGCCGGCAGTGCCGGCACCTCGTGGTTTTAACCGGCACGGCCATTACACACCGTATTTATGAACGCGGCTGCTGCTTTCTGGGGTCCCGGCGTTGCCAGTGCTCGCGAGGCGGGTGACGGACCGGTGATTTATTGTCCCTGGCTTCCTCTAAACACCAGTAAGGACTGGGAGGGGACTGGGAGGCTCGAAACGGGAGGGAACAGCGGTGCCGGCGCGTGCCGGCCGGCTCAGGAGTGGAGGAAGCGGTTGAAGGCGTTGTAGGCAGATTCCAGGTCGAACAGCATCTGCCGGACCTGGGAATCGTCCAGCTCATCCGACGCCGACATCCCGCTGAGCGTCTGGAGCCTGGGAGAAGGCAGGGCCGCGTCAGCGGCACGCCAGCACCCCAAAAACGGTGCCGGTAAGGGTGCCGGCATGCCGGCGCTCACCATTGGTTGACTTTCTGCCTGCCCTCGAAGTCGGGGGGCAGGTGGCTCATCCGATTCATCGTCTCCATCAGCTCCCGTAGGTCCGGCTGGATCTGGGGAGGGAATTTGGGGTGAGCCGCCGCACCAGCATCGCCAAACCGGGGCTCCCGGCGCTGCCGCGGCACGCGGACAAACCCTACCTCGTCCATGGCTCGGATCTCCAGGCGCAGCTTGTCCATCACCGTGATGAAGAGCTGTGAGAGAGCGAGTGTTTGGCTCAACCGCGACCCTGCCCGGCCCAACCGTGACCCTCCCCACCCCCCCAAAACCACCGAAGCTGAGCCCCGGCACCGCCCCGGCACCGTACGGAGACAATATCGGCGATGCAGCGGTTGAGGTTGCCCTTGTCGTCCTTGATGGTGATGGGCCGGTCCTCCTTGATCCTCTCCATGGCCAAGGGGCAGTCGAGCTGCGGGGAGACGAGGCCGTGAGCGGCGCAGCCGGCGCCCCCGGGAGCCCCGGCGCCGG